AAAGAATAAGTTGGAGAAGTATGTGAAAGAGATGCTCAGTAGTGGAATCATACAGGCTAGTCAATCGCCATATTCTTCACCAGCATTGTTAGTAAAGAAAAAGGATGGAACATGGAGGTTTTGTGTCGATTATAGAGGATTGAATGACTTGACCATTAAAGACAGGTATCCCATACCTATAGTCGATGATTTGTTGGATGAACTACATGGGGCGTCAATCTTTTCTAAGGTAGATTTGAGGGCTGGTTATCATCAAATTAGGATGAAGATGGAAGATGTGCACAAGACGGCATTTCGGACTCACATGGGCCATTATGAGTTTAGAGTAATGCCTTTCGGAGTTACCAATGCTCCAGCAACATTTCAAGCATTAATGAATTAGATTTTTTTAGATCGTTTCTCAGAAGGTTTGTTCTAGTCTTTTTCGATAATATATTAATCTATAGCCGAAATATGGAGGAGCATTTACAACATCTGCATGTGGTATTTGAAACTTTGAGGCTTAATGTGTTGTTTGCAAAGAAGTCTAAATGTTCTTTTGGGCAAGCTCAAGTGGAGTACTTAGGCCATGTTATTACTAAGGAAGGGGTGGCTACCGATCCTCATAAGATTGGAGCTATGATAGAATGGACTAGACCTAAGACCTTACGGGCTCTAAGAGGATTTCTTGGGCTAACAGGTTACTATCGGAAGTATGTGCAAAATTATGGGACCATTAGCAGGCCACTCACTGATTTGTAAAAAAATGAAGCCTTCAAATGAAGTGTGGATGCCGAAATTGCCTTTGAAGCTCTTAAAATAGCTATGACGACTACACCTGTATTGGCTCTTCCTGACTATACCCAAGAGTTTGTGGTAGAGACTGATGCTAGTCATGGGGGTATTGGAGCTGTACTTATGCAGCAAGGGAGGCCAATTGCTTTCTTTAGCAAAGTATTGGCTCCTAAACATAGGGGCAAGTCGATTTATGAGAAGGAGTATATGGCTCTACTTAACGCAGTGGATAAATGGAGACATTATTTACAGTTCAAACACTTTGTGGTCAAGACTGATCATCACAGTTTGAAATATCTGTTGGAACAACGAGTAACATTAGCTATACAACAAAAAGGATTAACGAAATTATTAGGCCTTGATTATGAGGTGCGATATAAAAAAGGAGCGGAGAATAGGGTAGCAGATGCTCTATCCAGGCGAGACGAAAGGTTGGTTACAAGAGAGTGAAAAGTCTTCGGCAGGTTTACTGATGGCTGTGAGTATGATTACGCCAATGTTGATACAAGAAATTATGCACAGTTATACGGAGGATCCTTATGTTCAAGAGCTGCTAACCTTGATATCAGTAGATGTTCACGGGCATAGTTTGTGGCATAACGTCAATGGGGTTTTAAGGAAGAAAGGCAAGGTTTATGTGGGTTCCAAAGGGCCTTTACGACAACAACTAATTTCTACTTTTCATGACACTCCTTTGGGTGGACATTCGGGCCAATTGGGCACTTTAAAAAGGTTAACTCAATATTTCTATTGGCCAAGAATGAGAGCTTTGGTGAATGAATATGTAGCTCGGTGTGAGGTTTTCCATCGTAACAAGGACGACAATGCAGCCTATCCCGGTTTACTTCAGCCATTGCAAATTCCTAATCAAGCGTGGAGGATGACAATGCAGCCTATCCCGGTTTACTTCAGCCATTGCAAATTCCTAATCAAGCATGGAGTAATATTAGCATGGACTTTATAGAAGGTTTGCCGAAGTCGAAAGCTAAAAGCGTGATATTGGTGGTGGTAGATTGGTATACCAAGTATGCCCATTTTATAGCTATGTCTCATCCGTATACTGCTCTGACAGTAGCTGAGTTGTATTGGAGACATATTCATAGGTTACATGGTTCTCCCGACAGTATTGTCTGACAGAGACAAGATATTTTTGAGTAAGTTCTGGTAGGAAATGTTCAAACTAATGGGTACACAATTGCACTATAGTTCGGCCTATCATCCTCAGAGTGATGGACAAACTGAGAGAGTCAATAGGTGTCTGGAAAATTACCTTCGATGTATGACTACAAGCAGGCCTACGCAGTGGAAACAATGGCTACCTGCTGCAGAGTGGTGGTATAACACCAACTTCCACACGGGTCTGCGATATACTCCATTCGAAGCGTTGTATGGTTGTAGTCCGCCTCAACTTTCAATTGGCACTCTTTTGGAGACAGTAGTGCAGGCAGCAGAAGACGCGGTGATGCATCGACATCAATTTCTTCAATTGTTGAAAGACAATCTAGCTACTGCCCAAGCTAGAATGAAGTTTTTCGCGGATAAGAAAAGGACCGAGCGTGAGTTTCTAGTGGGAGATTGGGTTTACTTAAAGCTTCAACCATATCGGCAGACTTCCATTGCTTTGAGACGAAATTTGAAGCTCAGTTCTAAATATTACGGTCCTTATTTGATAGTCGAAAGAATTGGGTTGTTGGCTTATAAATTAGCTCTACCTTCGCATTCTAACATTCATCCAGTTTTTCATGTTTCGTTGTTAAAGAAGAAGGTCGGAGATCGAGTGGTTATACAGTCAGAATTGCCTTATACAAATGACGACGGACAGTTTTTGGTTAAGCCAGTGGCAATTCTGCAGCGGCAGATGGTCAAACGAAACTATGTGGCTGCTGTTCGGGTTTTGGTTCAGTGGTCTAATCTTCCACCGGAGGATGCCACTTGGGAGGATTATGATTTTTGAAGGCTAAGTTTCCTAGTTTCGATTCTAATCCTTGAGGTCAAGGATGCTTTGATGGGGAAGGGAATGTTATGAACTGCAGTTAAAGGTATAAAAGTATGGGTTGCAGGGATTCGATCCTTGAATCTGGCAATAACAGGAAATGGGAAGGTTAACAGAAATATAAAATGAACGGATGAGATTGGAAGTTTATTAATGAAAGTTGAGGGTGAGGATTATGACACGTGGGTACAGGTTGTTGGTGGCGGTTGTTATAAGTTGTCTTGCTGGAAGAGAGAGAGGAATAACTGAAAAATAAGAGTCACACCAATTCTCTTCTCTGCTTCCTTCTCTCTTCTTCGATCCAGATTCTTCTCTTCTCAGTCTTCTTCTTCTTCTTCTTCTTCTTTTCCTTGCAGATCATCAATGGCGTAGCAGTAGGTTCCATAGTTGTTAGTATCAGTAGTTGTAATAAAGGACTTCGATACCAATAAATTCTACAGTTGGTTTTCTTTCTGCATTTTTTGATTTTGTTGGTGGATTGAGCTTGTGATCTTAGGAAGATCATAACAAAGAGGAACATGTTGTTGGCCATCTCGTAAATGTTGATCCCAAATACTCCTTTCCAAGAGACTGCAATCCATCTCGTGATGTCTGATAAAGAGGGAAGTTGTGTTTCTCCCTCATCAAAAGTGCCACAACGCACCTCTTGAAAAGTCCAGTGTCTCTGTAACTTGAAGGTTTCCTTCACTGTACGAGATCTTCGTCTCACCAGAAGTGTTTGATCTCCATTTTCTTTCCCCAGCTGCTGTGGCATAAGAGAGGTCCTTAAAAAGTTTGGGTTTTACTGCATTCTTCAGTTGGTGAGAGCATTGAATGAACCTCTCTATCTTAGGGGCTGTCTCATCCCACCCAACATCTATAGCTAACTCTGGAACTATTATAACTACTCTTTCCCGACCATCAAGAGTTAAAATGCTCAAGAATCTACCGTACTCATTCACTTTCCTAGTGCAGAAAGTCTCAGTGAATTTTTCTTTGTATTTCCATCTTCTGATTCCTTTTTCTCTATCCTTGGATGCTCCCTTGAGGACTGTGCAGAGCCATTTCATGATTTTCGCACTCATGGAAGACCTTCTCATCAGTTTGCAGCTTCACTCGACCCATTCAAACCAAATGTCTCTCCCCACTGTCCATCTTGTGATATTGAAAGACTTGAAGCCTGCGTTGAAATATATCCTGTTTTCCTCCATCAAAGATCAAGAGAGGAAGAGCTCTGCTTGTGAAAGAAGGAGTTCGGTGAAAAAGCTGCACAGAATGTGGGAGTTAAGAGTAGAAAGAAAGGACGTTTCCGGCAAGGAGTTGCCAGAAAGAGAGTTTTCTCTCTCCTATAAGTAGGAGAGAGGTGGCTGTTACAGTAATCCTGCATCAGCTGGTCTTTAAGAAGTATGGCTGTTAGACATCTTACTGTGGGATGAACTAAAAGCTAAAGCCTCTGCCTCACTTAATGCAAGTTATTTATGTGTTTTGTTTGAACTTTGCAAATATGAGGGCATTATTTGTTGGTTATTGTGATATTCTTAACTTGTTTTGATATTTTGTTTCCTTTTTTTATTTTGAAAGAAAGGTAACCATTTGTATTCATAGTAAAGCTCAGAACCAAAAAGCTACTGAGCTGTGAACTTTCAAACAAAAGTATAGAGGGATCGTGTTCTACACAATCTTATACATTGTTCATTAAATCTAACAAATTCCCAACTACCCCTACATATTCTGTTTACACACAAAAAAAAGAAGGCAGACAATTCATCCCGATTTTTGGGATGGAGTTGCTGGTGTGTTAAATTTTTTTTGAGTTTCTTTACTTCCAAGTAATCCACCATACACAAGCTGGAATGATCATCGACCAATCTTCTACATTGATTCTCCTCCCCACACTCTTCCATCAGTTTAGGATATCTATTGGAGAACTAGGCATAGTCCAATTTATGCCAAGAATACAAAAGAAATTTTCCACGGAATTTTAGTTCTCTTGCAATGTAAGAAAAGATGCTCAGTGCTTTCACATTCTTGACCACATAAAGGACATCTTGAACAAATCTGAAGGCCTCTTCTATGTAATTTCTCTTGGGTCAGGCAGGCTTTCTGTTTTGATTTGCAAGCATTGGTGGGATGAGGCTGGTGTTTTGTTACGTTCTTGCTGATTGATTCTTTGGGAAAATACACCAACTTGAGTCACTTTACTAGATTTTGGTGGAGTCATTGTTCAGATAATAGATTATAAATCCTTCTTCAGGTATGTCCGTTTGGTCATGTCTAAATGCCAGGATCCAGAGGAAATCAAGAAACTTCACCCCAGGTATATATTTTATTTATGTGTAAACTTGTCTTCAAAATATTTTGATATGGCTAGTATATCAAGAAGCTAGCATTTCGTATCTTTGGTCTCTTGAAAATTTTATCTTGTTTCATTTGTACAAACTGTTTCGAGGATGTTTTGAAAAAAAAATCTACTACCTACATAGAAAATTATACTTTAACCTATTCCTCTGTTTTTTTTATTTACTTGCTTATATCTAAGTTATATGCATCGATAGGGTTAATTTTTACACGATCAGGTTATTTTGACCTTTTATAGAAGATTGTTATCCTTTTTTTAAGATTGCCAATTTAATGTTTGTATATAAAATTTGTCTACTCTCTACGGTTGCATTTCAAGTGACTTACTACTGAATTTTTTTTACACCATCAATGCATAGAACTTATACTCAGATGATAACTATATTTACTTTAGTATCCTTTTGTTTCTTAAGTAATAAGACTATTAACTGGTTATCAAAAATGTGACTAAGAGTATATTACCTAGGACCCTTACTAGTGCTCTAAAGTATGTGTTAATTGACACAGATTTGTGGAGCTGAAAAAAATTCACGGGATTGAGTATGAAAAGGCTGCAACTGGAGCAACAGGTCCACAAAAACTGTCATCGAGCCTCATTTGTATGGACTATCAACTCTAAACTTCTCCAAAATTAGATTAGATTCTAAAATCTGATTCAAGAAAATGCTCTTACCGGTTATGCTCGCCTCTGCAGCTATTACCCTGAAGTGTGTCGCAGCATCAATTGGTGAAAAAGTCCCATTGACTAAAAAGCTGCCGGCAACAACAACAGTATGATCTTTTCATTTAATAGCCAAGCATTTGATTCCTCTATGGTTTAAGGTTTTTACTCATCTCTTGGTTCAATTCAGGTTGGCAAGCTGAAAATCCTATGTGAGAGTTTCTTCAAGATAAAATCTATTAAACCGAAGTTGTTTATTCAAGAAGAGGTATGTATCAGTCACTTAGATTTCATGAATAGATGATATAATGGATCAAACCCCCCTTAAACAATCACATTTTTACAAGTTTCATACTCAAACCATGCCTACTTTATGTTACCCCCTGAACTATAACTTAAGTGCTAAACCTCCCCTAAACTGTCACATTTTAATCAGTTTCATACTTAAACTATAGTGTTACGAGCAGGTGCTAAACCCCCTGCTCATTATATGTTATGCAAGTGTGTTCACCCTCCAAAAAGCTTTAAAAAAATGTCCATTGGCACTACACGTGTTAATTATTTTTTCTTTCATGTTTTGTTTAGATTATGAATTGCTTTAATTATAACATAAATTCTAACTAAATAAGTAAACTAAAGAAACACAAAAGATAAAAGTAAAGATGAAACATAAACTATGCCTAGGTTTACGTATGAAACTAATAAAAACATGACAGCTTAGGGAGACTTTGATTTATTGTCTCTTAATAGATTTTTGAGTACTTTACATAGCTGTAGTTACACTCCCTCCGTCCACTTCTATTTGTCATTGTTTCTTTTCTTAGCAGGCTAACATTTTATGATGCATTTTTCATCATATTGATATTGAAAAAATTGCACTTTATAGTACTTTTTCGCATATTTTTTGAATATCTAATTTTTTTTGTTTAAAATATCTAATAAGTGTAATCTAATTTAACTTTGAAAATTAGTCACATTGACTTTCAGAAAGCGCAACATGACAATTAAAAGAGAAAGCGCAAAATGACAATTAAAAGGGGATAGAGGCAGTATTTTAAAAATTACGTTACATATTTTTAGCACAAAAAATCGTCTTGAAAAAAATACTTTAGCACAAAAATTCAACTTAAAAAACATTTTTAGCACTTTAATATAACATACAGTAGCCATAAATGGCAGTCAAACCTTCAAGAGTCAACAGTGGTAGCTAGCAAAGGCGACATCAGAATTAGTTTACCTCCTGAAGTGAAGGATACTGGGTTGTACAAAAGGTGCCTGGTGGCATCTTTCAAAGAAGGAAAATTGAGATCCATCACTATCAGACATCCGGAAGTGATCCTCAATTTCGTGGAAAGTTGTATTTGGGATCAATATTTATGAGATGTCAAACAAGATGTTTCTTTTTGAATTTCCAAATAGGAATATAGCAGAACAAATAATTCAGAGGGAATGGAGTTGGAAGAAGACCAAAGTCAGTCTTCAATGGTGGAACCCAGTTACCGGTTGTATACCTGCAACTCAAAATTCGACCACTACTTGGATTCGTTCTTTGGGAGTGCCATTGCAACTATGGTCTCAACAAGTATTTAGAGTATGGGAATTTATGTGGAGGCTGGGTCTCAACAGAAGAAGAGACAGATTTAAAGAACCACTTAAAATGGGCAAGAATTCAAATTTCATGAAAAGGAGATAATTGCCCAAATGAGGTTATGCTAGAAAGAGATGGAATCAAATTTTTCATTCCTATTTGGGTGGAAAAGAAGGCTCGATTTATTAGAGCCTTACAGGAGATGGAGAAAGCTGGTGAAGGATCCAAAGGTTTGTGAAATCCTTTGGACCCATGGACAAAAGGAGTCCTTGGTACTAGGAAAAGACAAGGGTGTAAGTCAAACTTTGGTGTAGGACAGGCAGAACGTGGGAGGTGCAGACACAGCTAGATGTCACTTTAAAAGATTTAAACAAGTCATGTGAGGAGGAGGTGGTGATTTTAAAGTTTGAAAAACAATCTATGGGCCAATGGAATAAGGGAATTGGGCTTGATGGAGCAGCCCAAGTCATCTTTAATGACTTAACAAGACCAGCATTTGAAAACCTTTTTGATCCTCACTTAGTGGAAATAAAAAGATATTGTCCTCTAACCTGACAATCTTGCACCCAGGAGATCGATGCGACACTAGAAGAACTATCAAATAGTCCAGCAGCCGCTAATATTCAGAAGGAATTATCGCCGGAAGAAATGGAGATAGAAATTGCCATCGACAAAGTAGGGGCAGAGGGTCAGATTTCAATTGATCATCACATTTCCATTGTTCCATGAATCCATACAAAAATTGAAGAATGGGTGGTTGAAGATGTTCAGCCAATCCAACCAAATGAAGCACGATTTCTTCATAAAGATAAGGAGACTACGACATGGGTCAGACAAAATCTAATTAAATTGGGGAAACTGTTTGGAATTGACTTTCAAGGGCATGAGGAAGAGACATTAGAGCTACTCATGCAGATAGACAGCTGCAGACAGGCAAGAAAAATGGAGAATGAAAGCATCACCAAAGACTAAGGTATAAAGGGGTACAAGAACTCAAAAGATTTGCTTCTTTTGATGTCAAATTCAAAGATGAAGGGAAAAGAGACAGGGAGAGGGAAGGCAAGTTGTTGCAATGAAGGTAAAACTTGTATCATGGAATGTTAGGGGTTTGAACGATAGGGAGAAAAGGAGATTTGTGAAGAGTGATTCACAACTGGAATGTAGACATAGTTTGACTTCAGGAATCAAAATTAGAAGGGGATATTAAAGATTTAGTCAAAGAAATTTGGGGTGGGAGATGGGTGAAGTATGCTTGCCTACAAGCTAGTGGCACAAGAGGAGGAATTGTGATGATATGGGATAGTATGTCTTGGAGACGGGAAGTGTTAGAAGTGGGATCATATACCTTAACCTGTAAATTTGAGGCACTTTTACTAGACTTTAAGTGTCATATAACAGGAGTATATGCTCCAAATTGCATAATAGAAAGAGAACATGTATAGGAAGAAGTAGGAGCTGTCAGGAGTTTATCTGTGGTGACTTTAATGTCACCCGTTTTCCTTCAGAAAAAAGAAACTGTAGAAGAAGATCAACAACCATGGTGGAGTTCTCTGATTTCATTTCAAGATATGGAATTGATAGTACCACAATTAGAAAGGGGGAAGTATACATGGTTCAAAGGAGATGGTAACAATGCAGCATCCAGAATTGATAGATTTTTATTTTCCAAAGAATGGGATGACAACTTCACTAAAATAAACCACACCCCATTGCATAGGTTGGTATCTGACCACAACCCCGTGGCCCTGCAATGTGGAGAGTGGGAGAAGAATAAATCTTATTTGAAATTTGACAACTGGTGGCTAAACACATGGTTTTGTGGATAGAATTAAAGGGTGGTGGGAGTCTTTTGAATTCACAGGAAAACCTGATCACATCTTGGCATGCAAACTGAAAGCTCTAAAAGGGAAACTTAAAAAGTGGTGCAGGACCAACATGGGCAATCTGGGAACTCAAAAGATTCAAATTCTAAGTGAGTTGGTCAGGTTAGAGGCTATCCAAGAAAATAGATTGTTGTCAGAAGAGGAAACTATTATGAAGGCATCTTTTCTGATGGTGTATGAAGAACATCTCAAAAACACCAGCTATTTTCACAAGCTGGCCAATGCACATAGGAGAAGCAACCACATTGATCAATTAGTGGTTTAGGGGAAAAGCATAATGGATTCAGAGAGGATCAAAGGGGAAATCATTGGTTTCTATGAGAAGTTGTATACAGAGACTATTGGTAGAAGACCCATAAGCAACCTGGTAAACAGTCCTTATCTCTGAAGCAGAGAAGGAAGCTTTACAAGGTAATTTTGAGGAACAAGAAGTTTTTTCTTGTTTGAATATGTGCCATGGACAAAACACCTGGTCCATATTGCTTCACAATGGGATTTTATATTAAATGTTGGGTGGTGCTGAAAGAGGACATCATGGGTACTTTCAGAAATTTTCATGCAAGGGGTGCTTTTATAGAAGTTTTAATGCTACCTATGTTGCATTAATTCCAAAGCACACCAGAGCTAAGGAATTGAGAGACTTTAGGCCTACTAGCCTCATAGGTAGTATCTACGAGCTGCTATCAAAGGTACTCACAGAAAGATTGAAAAGAGTGGTAGACAAGTTGGTTGATACTCAACAGATGGCTTTCATAAAAAACAGGCAAATAATGGATGCCATCATGATAGCTAATGAAGTGGTGGATTCTAGAATATCACAGGGTAAGGCAGGAATATTATGTAAATTGGATATTGAGAAGACATGTGATCATGTTAATTGGGAATACCTTCTGAAAATACTTGTATGGGATTTGGGAGGAAATGGATCAAATGGGTAAGATTTTGTATCTCAACAGGCAAAGTCTCTGTTCTGATCAATGGAGCACCAGAAGGTTTTTTTCCAGCTCAAAGAGGTCTGAGGCAGGGAGATCCTTTGTTTCCTTTCCTATTTGTTATTGCCATGGAGGGTTTAAATAATATGATAAAGATAGCAGGGAACACTAACTATCTAAGGAGATTTGAGGTGGCAACAAATCCTAATTCTGTACCAAACTTGGCAGTCACACACCTTCAATATGCAAATGACACTTTAATCTTTTGTGATGCTGAGGAAGGGCAATTGTTGATCTTAAGGTCAATTTTGGTGCTATTTGAAGGTGTCTCTGGGTTGCATATAAATTGGAGGAAGAGTATGTTGTTCCTTATAAATGAGGTTACCAACATAGAGGAGTTGTCTAGAATCCTAAGAGGGGAAGTAGGAACTTTACCTACCACCTACCTTGGAATGCCTTTGGTAGCCAAATCAAATTCTATGAACATTTGGAGCTCGATGATGGAGAAGTGTGAAAAGAAGTTGTCCAGATGGAAGTCACATTATTTATCTTTAGGAGGCAGAGTTACCCTTATAAACTCAGTGTTGGATGCTCTTCCCACCTACATGATGTCCATCTTCCCAGTCCCAAATAGTATCATACAGAGGTTGGACAAGGTTAGGAGAGATTTTCTTTGGAAAGGGAATAAGGAGACTAATTCAACAATCCTTCATCTGGTCAAATGGAAAAAAGTGCTTTGGGGGAAAAAACAAGGGGGTCTTGGCATTAGAAATCTCAGGCTCTCAGATTGAAATGGCTTTGGAGATATTCACAAGAACCTCAAGCATATTGGAGTAAGTTTTATTAAAATCAAATATGGTGAAGAGGTTTGGTGGATAACAGAGGAAGTCAAGACCCCATATGGGGTTAGTATGTGGAGATCAATTAGAGTACTTTGGCCTTTCATGAGGAAGCACACAAATGTTAAAGTTGGAAATGGGCTCAAGACTTCTTTTTGGAAGGACAATTGGTTGAGATCCGATAGCTTAAACGGTTTATTCCCTAACTTAGCTGTGATGGCTAAACAACCGGAGCCAAGTGTGGCTGACACATGGACACAACAAGATTGGAACATTCATTTGAGGAGGGACCAGTGTTATGAAAGGCGCTCGCCTCGTCGCCAAAGGCGAGAGGCGAGGCTAGGCGAGGGTGGCTCACCATTCTCTGGCGAGGCGAGGCGAGGTGAAAAAGGCGAGGCCCTAGCGATAATGGCGCTGAAATGGCGAGAGAAAGGCGCCGCCTTTTTTATTAAAAAAATTTTGACTTAATAATATTAGTCAAAATTAGGGTTTTTTTTTACTTTCGAAAATTTCTGACTCTCTCTCGATCGATCAATCGATTCACTCTTCTCTTCTCCCTCGCCGGCCCTCACTGCTCCCTCGCCGGCCCTCGCTGCTCCCTCGCTGTCGCGTCTCTACTTCCTCGCTCTCCCTCGCTGTCGCATCTCTTCACCCTCGCGGCTCGCCGGCGACCTCGCGACTCTCTCAGGTATGTCGCGACTCGCGTCTCTGTTCTTCTTCTTCTTCTGTTGATCTGTTCTTTCTTCTTCTTTTTTTTTAAATTTTGGTAAGCTGCGTAAGCAGCAGTGACTGCTGAGGACTCAGGCAGTCAGCAAGTGTAACAACTAACAAGTGTTAATTTTTTTTAAAAAATTCTTTTCCTAAGACCTAATTATTTATTCCAATATTCCTAAACAGCGAATTAATTGTATTTGATAATCAATGGCGGATGCTAGCAAAAAGAGGGACATTGGATGGAATTATGGCACTCAAGGAGCGACGAAAGATTCGGTCACTTGTAACTTTTGTGGGAGTACTTTCAATGGTGGAATAACGCGACACAAACAACATTTAGTGGGTGGTTTCAAAAATGTTAAACAATGTGCCGCTTGTCCGTCGGAAATTAGAGAAGAAATAAGGGCTTATATGCAAAACAAAATAGCTAATAATCCCAAATTTCAAATGAGGCAACCGGAAGAATTTGTTGATATTGATGATCTTGATGAAATGGATGATTATGCGGAAATGAGGCCTCCCTTCAAAACTCAAAGGATATCTTCTAGTGGAGGTTCATCCACCGCACAGAGTGTGATGAAAGGACCTTTGAACCTCTATTTTTCACAAAAATCAACACAAAAAGGAGGCTTAGAAAAAGGAGGAGGAATCGAAGAAACAAAGAAAATTCTAAGAGAGCGTGCGGTAAGTGCTTTTGCAATTCGGATGTATGATGCCGGGCTCCCTTTTAATTGCGTCAATCACAAATCATTCGATAAATTTATTGAGGCGGTTGGACAACATGGCCCCGGAATGAAGCCTCCTACATTCCATGAAGTTAGAGTCACTCACCTTAAAAAAGAGGTAGATAAAGTAGAAAAAATTGTTGAGGAGCATAAAGTGCAATGGACAAAGTTTGGTTGTTCCATTATGATGGACAAATGTACGGCACGAAATGGCAAAATGATCATCAATATTTTGGTGAATTCTCCAATCGGTAGTGTATTTCTTGGTTCGGTTGATGCTAGCAATGAATCTACCGATTCCACCAAAATGTACAAGTTATTTGAAAGCACTATCGAAAGAATTGGACCGGAAAAAGTGGTACAAATTGTCACCGATAATGCTAGTGAGAATGTCAAAGCGGGAAGTCTGATAATGGGTGCGTATCCACACATTTATTGGACTCCATGTGCCGCTCATTGCATCAACTTGATATTTGGTGACATATTCAAGGTTAAGCCATATGCTTCCGGTAATCAACCTATCCTTTAACTTTATTAAGTTTCTTTATAGTCAATACTCAATAATTTATTAGCTACTAATTAATTTAATTTAATCTTTCTATAACAGTTTTTAAGAAGGCCATCAGAATCCATTCTTACATTAGTCAAAGGCCATTGTTGTTAAACTTGATGAGAAAATTCACCAAAGAAAGAAATTTGGTGAAACCGGCCAAGACAAGATTTGCAACGGCATTCTTAACTTTGAGAGCTATGTACATTCAAAGAAAAAACTTGAAAACTTTAGTCCTCTCAACCGAATGGAATTCAAGCAAATTTGCAAAGGAAACTTCGGGGAAAGAAGTTGCCAATCTTCTTATTTCTATCCACTTTTGGAATGATGTTGTTCGGGCACTTACAGTTTGTAGCCCTTTGACAAAAGTGCTTCGTTTGGTGGATGGGGAGAAAAAACCACCAATGGGTTATATTTATGAGGCAATGGATAGAGCCAAAGAAGCC